TCAAGACTTTTTAATTTTGGTGATTTATAAATGCGCGTTTCTTATCAAATATCAATATAGATACAAAAGCAATTTTTCTAATGCGAAGAGGAAACTTTTGCCTCTGAAAGTAACAAGGCCGTTTGAGCAACGGAATCCTTTCTTAACTAAAGTCCCCGGGTATCGTTAGACTAGAGCAGAATGAATTTTGTAAGTAAGCTAGACTTCAATTTATTTTAAATGCACAATATTCTAAAGTTTATATAAATGTATCGTTTATAAATTTAATTGCAATGAAAGAATCCCTGTTCCGTGTAGTATAATTAGTGCATGTAATTAGTGCACGTAGTGCGAGCTCTGAGCCAAAACGCTATTCTAAATATGTAAACACTTTGACCTGTTTGTTCACCAGTCAAGTTCTTACATTCATTAAATTAAAAAAAAAAATAATAATAAATAACTTCCCGAGCACTTGCAGGAAATTAACCTTTTGCCACAAATGAATTCACTGTCAAGCGGCGATATTTTTTATCTCGCATAAAATTCCTTTTGCGTGCCCTTGCTAATTTTCCTTGAAAATTCTACCCATGATAAATTCTATATACTTTACAGTATAAAGAGAATTTCCGTAGGTGGACCTTATTTCTGCAAAAAACCAGAATTATTTTGAGAGTGTAAACACAACAGTTGATGTCACTTTCATTTGCCCTCGTCGAGTCGAGCATTTTTCTCATGCCCTTTCAGCTCGTGGACGCCTCCTCGAATCATGGTCCCAAGATTAAAAAGAGAGTATGTGCACGGTATTTATCGCCTCTCTCTCTCTCTCTCTCTCTCTCTCTCTCTCTCTCTATGTATCTCATGAGTCGTGCAACAACGTCGTGACCGCGATCAAGGCAGTTCTTCTTCCTCCACAGTTTTATTTCTTCCTCTTCTTCTTCTTCTTCTTCTTCTTCTTCTACTTCTTCCACTCGATTCCTTCACTTTTTTAGATCGAGTTGGCCGTGTGCCGCACTCGGATCATGAACCGGCCCAAGGACGCCGATATAACGCTTCCTTGAACCTACCGCTGGTTATTGAGGGATTAGTCCTTAAGCCGATGTGTGACGCCTACGAGGCGCCACAACTTCCATCTTAATTGCGCATTCTTTTACACTGGCGGCCAAAGAATTTTTTAATAATCTCCGCGAGTGCTTATTGAGTCGAAAGCGCAGCTACGTCACATTTGCCGATTATGCGTGGAAAAAAGTACTTTTTATTTTTGGGATAATGAAAAAATTACGTGAATTACTTAATTATTTATTCATAGATTTGATGCAAATTGCACTTGTAATACGAGCTCTATGCATTCTAAACATTATTGAAAAGTAACATTCCAATCAACGTAATTTGACAAGTAAAATGCTTATTCATCATGACTTATTAATTGTGATATTTTATTTATTATATTAACAAATAATATATTTTTTCACTAATCTAAACTCACTATTTGGAAGCTATAGAGCGCAAATGTTGTGTGCTAAATAGTCAACTGCTAACCTTAATTCGACTAAACTTGCAATTTAATCTTGAAGAACATTAAATGTGAGTAGTATTCTGATAAGAGTATAGTAAATCATTAAATTGCAATAAGATTTTACACTATTCATCGCGATTCACGATTACATATAAACGTATAGTCTTTCGGTTTTATCCAATTATCTGACAAAACGTGTTGATTGCTCAGTGGGATTATGCGCATAAAGTAGGTGACCATTACATCACGACAAAGCTCATATTCAGATAAATGTTCCATATTTCAATTTATATTTATTCAATACGATAATAGTTAGTGTTTGATATATAATTATCAATCGCAAATCAACAGTTGTTTTACGTATCGAATGATTTTTTTTTTTTGTTTTTTTTTTTGTTTTTTAGTTTTTTTTCTTTACAACAATGCATCCGACAATTAACGATATACGGCTTATAAAAAACTTACGTTAATAAATTGCATTGATTGTAGAGCTTTGAAGATGATGGCATAATTTTATTTATATGAATTTGTATTTTACAAAGTCCATAACTTATCTAACATTATAAACGTACAACTCACTTTTTCAAATAACATGACTTCGTACCATTACAAGGTTCAATAGCTTCTGTGATGCGAAAGTCAAAATTTTGTTGAACAAAGAAAAACTAAAGAGCAACAGCAAAAAAAAAAACATATAGAGCCACAGGACTTTGAGTTTAAACGTATGGAATTTTACCTCGAAAATAAGGACGACGACAAAACAAAGCCCAAAGAAAGAAGAAGAGAAAAAGTATTATAAACTCAATTTCGAACAATAGCATTTTCGCATCGGCTTCAATTCGAGTTATTTAGTCGGTAAAATATAGTAGTGGTATTTTTTAAAGGTCGACTTTATCGAGGCCATTGGTTTCACGCTTGAGAATTGCCAGTACGTTTGTTCACACTAAATAAATCAGCACCGCGGAATAGAAATGAAAATTACGTCAGTTACGAGTGTCTAGATTATTTACAGAAGAGTATTGAGATGTACGTTTGCTTAACCCTCGAAGAGAGCATCGCGATATTTAAGATTAAACGCATGTAGGTGAAACGGTTCCGAGGACAAAGCCAGTGGCACAAAAAATCGGACGTGCATAGAGATTCATATATTCTGAGCCGATATTTTCACACGCCGTGGAATCGTGAAGAATGAAAATCTGATGAAGAATGATATTTCTGACCTATTCGCGAAAGCGACCAGCACTGTGTATTATTTCCGCGAGAATCTTTGCTTCTCTAACTTCTACTAAATGCAAGCGCGCACTCGTTCGTTATTACAATCTCTAATAAACTGGAAAATTTAGGTTAGTGAAAACACGATTTCACTGAAGTTACTATAAAAAAAAAAAAAAAAAAAAAAAAAAAAAAAAAAAAAAAAAAAAAAAAAAAAAAAAAAAAAAGGGAAAAAAAATTTAAAATAAAATAAAAAATATCAAAAAAAATCAAAAAAAAAAAAAAAAAAAAAAAAAAAAGAAGGGTGCAATGATTATAAGTAGTAGCATCACAGTAGCATCCCCGACAGTTTTTAAATTGTTTAAACTTGTATACTTTTCAAACTTTTCAACGTTCTGCAATTACTAATGGTTTGTAAGGAGAGATAAATAAGGAAAAAATAAATTTTAAACCAAAACCTTGTCGATTAATTAAAAAAATTTCATATGTCAGAACAGTTACATAAGGCAATTTTTAAGCCATTTAATCCGCCATAAAACTTCATTCCCAATAAATAAATTGAAAATCGAAAGAAGTAAACATGAAAATAATTATTCTTATCTTTATAGACTGATAGGATTTAAAGCGTTTCCAAGAAATGCCGATGATTCGGAAGATAAACCGTTATACCGATACAGTTAATGACGATTGAATTCGTTATCGAAAATTCGCCAACATCGTTATTTCAGATCCTGTGAATATTCCAATTTATCGCGAAGCTAGCAAATATTGCAATAAGCCCCTTTACTATCCTTGGTAAATATTAAAATGATTATTTCAAGCGCGACTATATTGCTTATGTATGCGGAATACTATGTGAGCCCATTGGATAAGTTAGGCGACTAGTTTTTTCTTAACAATTGGGCTTCTTTTAAAAAATTGTAGTTTCGCGAAGTATATTTCGAACCCCAAAACACTCGGAAGTCGTGAAAGGAAAATGGAAAAACAGGCGACGCCGCTTAAGAGCACCGCCACGTTCCTGTGAACAGGTGTGGGTACCCACGCAAGAAGCTCGCCTTCTTGAGCAAGAGAGAGAGAGAGACAACAGAGAGAGAACAGAGAGAGAGAGAGAGAGAGAGAGAGAGAGAGAGAACGAGAGATAGAGCGAGAGAGGCGCAGGACGCCAAGCTGTCTGCCGTTTGCTCGGGACTCGCTCCGCTCGCCTGCACGAGTTCTCCGCGAGAGACGAAGATAGGAATATACGGAGGTTCATTCGTCTTCACGTGTCAGGCATGGTTTTATAAAGATTGCGCTAGTTATCACCTCGCACATCCTCTGGGAAAGGATGTCCAAGACCAGTTGCGGCTTCGTCCTTTCGCGCTTTTACGTAACGTCGACCAAATTACAAAAGTATGGTCGATTGACCGGTACAGCACCTTCTAAACGTGGTAGAGAGATATAGAGTGAAAGAGGCCGATGCTTAAAATGCTTCCCCCCCCCCCCCCCCCCCC